ACATATATCAGCGCCGTGTGCAGATGACAATTGAGTGGCCGAATTTGCAATGAAAAGAATTCGATCGAGGAGATGACCAAACGCATAGATATCTGAAGACAACCAGAACAACTCGCAAACTTCAACCCAAATCCACACATTTTCAATCTTCTAATCAAGAACATCCTCTTGCTTGGATCGCCACAATAACATAAAGGGTATCCTCAAGTTCTTAAATGGGTAAATGATCAATGAAATTTTCTAAAATATCTCCAATCAATTAAAACATTAACAAATGACATCTTCAGTACAATTCTCATTACTTATGATATAAACTCAGATGCATTTAGAACACAATTCATGTGTATTCCATGCGATTTCGACAACATTCAAAAGATTTTTGCTCTCAGAGTTCAAGGTTTCCATATAAAATAATTTCAACACCAACCAATCGAATGAACAAAATTCGCAAAATGTTCCAGAGCGGTTCGTTGCAATTTCGTATCAGAGCTCTCGAGTGCTCGTGTGAAGATAATTCGACGCCATTCCGATGCGTAACTCATCCTCGCGATTGCCGCTATCGTGCTCATTTTCACTTCCAACGCTCAAAATTCAAAATATTGTTCCACAATACACCAAATTCTCAACAATGAATACAGCCATCAAGTTGCAATGATGTAAGGTGATCGCTTGATGATGATATTATTATAACTCAAAATTGAAATAATTGCGCATAGCCAATAGAAAAAAACTTACTACAAGACTTAGCAATGGTCTTTGCTAGACGTCGAATCTCCGACAGCGAAGGTATCGATCGCAAATGGCGTGAACAATCGATTGGTTCCTAAAATCGAACTGACGATAAACGGCATTCGAAGACCGAATAACTCAAATGAGAAATACAACAACTTCAAAAAACCAGATAAAAATCATAACAATTATAAAATTATAATACTACTTATCATTCNCAAATGAGAAATACAACAACTTCAAAAAACCAGATAAAAATCATAACAATTATAAAATTATAATACTACTTATCATTCATCACTAAAATTATAATCATTAATTTTATTGTCTACTATAACAATTATAAAATAATATTAACGACAATAGAATTAATGACTTCAACAAAAACGATATGCATAAAGACAAATTATAAAAATGAACATCCAAAAAGTACCGTGAGCCACGGCATTGACAAGAAAGCCAGCCACTTGCCCTGCTCACTCTCGTTACATTCGATCAAAGTCGATATCAACGCAATCAACGATAGAAGTATTCCGTCACCGTTTGCTTTCACTGATGATATCGTTTGAATCACCTGTAATTCAATTCCAACTTCACCGAATATTTACGATATTTTGCTTCATTTCAATGATACGCTCAAATCGTTGAATTTCATGCAGCCTGAACGAATGATTCAAAAAACTTACGGTTGGATCTAATCGTAAGCATATTTAGATGAATCAACTTAATCACTTAATCATTACATCCAATTAATTATCATATTAATTCACTTTTTAGATTTTAGATTACCAAATCAATTCTATGTAAATGACTTAAATAATGACAACTGTTACCACCTTAAAAAGTTCATCAGGTTGTGGGGTGATTTCCGCTAGAACGATTTCTCCGTTTCTCGCTTTTTTGACAGCCGAAATTATCANCCACTCACCTCTTCACCAACAAATTTCTCTTTAGCATCACATATTATTCGGATTATTTCTCGTCCCAAAATACTGAAACAATGAAAATTCAAAAAAACAAAAACAAAAATACGCATCAATACAATCGTCAATAAACACAAACAGATACAATCTTCCACTGAACTCTCCAAATAAATTTCACTCATCCTCAGTAAACATACATTAAACCTATTGTCATTACAAATCGATTCATCACACCGAAATAATTTTCATAAAAAAGTTCTGAATTCCTCAATGAGTCCGAAATATTACCCAACGAAATGATAATTCTTCTCGATTTCAGTTACAAATCCTGGCAATTGATCTCTTAAAGAAACTAAAACTCACACGCAATCATTGACACGCTTATCTACTGTGAATATGAACGAGAATATATCAGCCAACTGCGCCACTGACAATCGCCCGTCCCGAACCAATAATTTCTGCACGATCACTGTGATATCACTCGCCAACACCATCAAATCACTCACAAAAATCTCATCGAATTTTGTCAAATTCGATAGAATATCGCATAGAACCGACAAAAAATTGATCAGATGTTCCTCTGCAAAAAAAATCGTAAAGGAAAATGAAACAACACAACTAATAAATAACTGAGAAGTTGAATGACACCGAAAAACAGTTCAAAAATCAAATTCACGATTTAAACTGATTACATATGAAATTCACAAAATTGCTGAAAATTTCTAAGAAAATACAATTGAAATCGCTCACT